ACCGACTATCTTACTTTCTCTACCATCGTGTATAGTTAGAAGAACATATTTGCCCTGGGTGGCGTCAAAGCGAACATCCCGGTCCTAACTGGACGCGTTGAGCCCAGAAAGAGCTCAGCCAAGGAGACCTACATCACTGCCAGCGTCATACAGCAAGGACTGAACGAGAAGTGAAACTCAGCCTCCATCTGTGGTTGAATAAAGTTTGCCCACGCTGTCGCGCAATTCGTTCCCTCGTAAACACTCGGCCGCGACTCCTAATAAACGTTGACCAAAAAGTTTATATAGAAGAATGTATTCCAGTAAAAGTAGCCTTATTTTTAGCGTATACGCATGGGCATACATATACGTGTATATGATCTGTGGTATTTTCAGACAAAACTGTGTACCACATCTACTATAGATGAACTTTAGATGCGAGAGGCAGAGTATTGGTTTTTGGTGGGAATCAGTACAAATAACACCTTAAATACTTCCTTGACAGGCGATGGGGTATTTTTGTTGATATTTGTCGTGATACAACACGGAAATGTTGTCGCTTAATTTGCACGAAGACTAAATTTTACAGCTGCATGCAATGGTCACTTCCGGAGATTTTTCTGCCGCGAAATTGTTCGCTTGCCGAACGAAAAATTACGCGCGCGGCGTATCCAATATTCCTGAACACTTCGCATATAACTAGATCCACATATTCATTACATTCTAGATACTTCCAAATTCTTCTGCAGAAAATCGGATAACGCTTAACTTAGAGCTGCTTGACACGTTTACGTGGACCTTACGCGTTACTTTATAAAAAAATCTGATCATTCTGTAGGTGGTGGGAGGTTATCAGAATAGATTCAGCTAGCAACACCAGACCGCGCTGATACTTGAGTAATATGCGCAACTAGATATCCATTGGAGTTTATCCTCAAAACATATTAGTCGCGTCCATGTTGTCGCCGAACTAAAATTATCACAAATGTATGAAAAGGAACTCTGAAGTAAAAATGACATGGTAGTATTTAGTGAAATTTAGTAAAAACGTTAAAGGGGCTATCGACGTCTGTTAGTCAATAAAGATCCTTCACCTTATTTGCCTCTGAGGTTATCAAGTCTGACGAGATTCATAATGAGTTCTCCGTCCACTTGAGGTAGCACCGGTAGGGCATAAATAAAAGATTTTGTTTCCCATTCGCAAACCCTGTCGCCTCCAAACTACTGACAACAGCTGCAGTTCTGAACTAAAGGGTTAACGTATCATCTAGTCTAGAGCGGATTGCGGCAAACAGCCATTGATGGGTATTTCCATCTATGGCTAGCGGAAAGGTTTTGACTAGACTGCACCTGGTATCGTTAGCTATCTGCGACTCGTACCATATACGTCGGTCGTACGTACATTAAAGCGTAGCTAAAACGCATTAATGAAGTTCAGCGGTCGACAATTGACTTCCCCGTAGAGGAAAATCTTCATCACACGCGTTACAGACGTTAGCCCCGTTAGAGTCCGTTGAAAGGAACAGATATTCGATGAGGATTTCCGGGTGGCAAACCGCAATAGTCATACCCAACAAGCGTGCTTACTATAGGCTTGTTGAATCAGAACTCGCTACCCAGAATGGTGCCTAACGATAAAATGTGCTAGAATTAATGTACATCGTTTGAACGGTTAGCTAGCTCATACAGCTTGTATTCATAACCATTTTTTGGGGCCGTTTGGGGGGTAATACTATTAAAGCTTTGAAAAGACGACTATTCATTCCGAATCTAGCTACCTACCTACCTATCTATCTATCTACAGGTTGCAATTTGGCAGGAACCCAACCAGCAAATTTGCCTCCGCTGTTTGTCGGTCCGCCTACGCTCTAATGCAGGCGTCGTTTTCGAGGCGAACATCGCTGTTGGAACTACAGTCACCGAATCCATGTGAGGACTAGATAGAAATTATTATCATGAAGTCAAAAGCGTTTAATAGATCAACACATATCTCCGGCATCTTTTTACAGTCAATAGCTTCTATCTAAATACTTATTGCATGCCCTTTTGATGGCCAGAAACAACACGTAAAACATTTCATAGTTTCCTCTACTACCAGTGGACGAACCATCACGATTAGCAGCATACTTACCAACCGAACTAGTCTTATTTATTGCGACTATGTTCGCGATTTCTCGTCCAGGATATAGCAAAATTCTACCCACATACAATGCTATCTCATTGACTTTTCCCTAATAATCATGTAAATAGGCGTTTTCGCAAGCTCCATCTAGTTGCTGTTTGATGTCTTCGTCGTCTGCTTCGTGCTTTTATTTATTAAGGTACTCATTTGTGTGTGTTTCAGCCGTACAGCGGCTGTCGCCTTCGCCACTGTTGTTGTTGCTGCCGCCTCTGCGAAGGTGGAGTAGCTCAGGGATTACATAATCCATCATCTCCATTGTGTGGACCTGTTACGACAGCGACCCATCGACGCTGGTGTTTAGACTTTCACCTCTTCCTTTCGCCCTCTCGTCTTTTGAGCATACTCGTATCGTAGAGGTGCTACTGGCCCTAGGTGGGCGCTCCGTGTCTCGCTTCTCCTCCTACGATTCTGCCCCGAGCAGAATACCATGTCATAACAGTAAACTAATATCAGCATTAGTCGAGGCCGGCCCACATTACATCTCCAATTACTTGTTATCAAGTCATTACTTGTTGGAAACCTAACCGTATCTAGACATACAGTTCTCTTTGTCGATGTGAGCCTACATAAGGTATGTCTCGACGCATTACGTATTCTAATACAGGACGTTTGCTAGCCGTAGGCAAAAGGGCGAGTCCATACCGTTTCTTCCTATCCATAATCATCACGCCGCTCGGGGGGCCAACCAATACTAAGAAAGTGTGCCGTAGTTTTTGAGACGGCCCCTCTGTATACTATAAAACATGGTAGCACAATATGAACCTGCAAAGAAAGCGGCAGCGGCGATGGTGCTATTGGCTGAGGAGCGTACGTTCAACTGAAAGGCGTCGCGACCGCTGATCTGATAGCCAGTAAGAACAGAGTGAAACAGTTGGCTTGCTTCGGGCTGCTGCAAACTGGACGGAAGGGACAAAAAGGGGGTGCGGTAAGGGGGGACAGAAAGAATACACTGTAAACGAGAGCGAAAGAAAAGTAAACAGATAGAGGTAGACTTAACGGATGGTCTCCAGCATAAGGAGACGAAGGAAGCGCAGTGGAAGCAGCTGCAGTATAAACGGGCTCACAAGTTCAGTTCTTTAAAAGATGCACCATTAGCCATTAAGGCAGTCTGCGAATGCAAATATGCTCGGCTAGTCTCGTTGTTCTGTCTCGTTTTCTTTTTTCTGCCTGCCGCTTTGTCAGGCCAAAGCTGCCCATGATGGCTGGCCTTCTCGTCGAGTTTGCACACATACACCCACACACCAACATATATAGGAAACAAGGCCATATAAAACAAAAAAAAATTGAAAGTTGAATGAAGAGAAGTATGAACAAGTATAGAAAAAGCAGCAGCAAGGTAATCTGTCGACGTAGCCGCTGGCTAGGGCAGTGACGCTACATGTGTTGGGACTGGCGCCAACCGACTTGTAATTGCCTGTATCCAACGCCCTGCAAAACCCCTCTCGAATTGGTCTCTTGTTGCCACGTTGCGACGAAAAATATGTCAACTGGGCTCGCTACACCGGCAACCATGGCAGGAAACAACAAAATAGTAGCACTAGCAGTAAATTGCGATCAGTTTTGTTCTGCAGCGCGCAAAATTAGCAACAACGAACACGAACAGGAGAATAAAGGTTAAAAGAATAAGGACGAAGAGTCACGAAGGCTTCAGCTTAAAAGGCCATACCGAATGGTCGAGGTTAAATAGGGTGATAACTAGATATACACACGCACGAACACAAAGAGCCAGACCACGTCCCATTCGCATAGAGGCCTGTAGTGGGCAGAGCGGCGGTCGAGATGCGGGAATTACCCAGAAATGGTACCAATTCAATGAAACGTGTCGTAGGGATCGAACACTACCCTCGTGGTCTTCCTTTATTCTACTCTCTGTTTGACTATACAACCTAAAATGCTTTCCCAATGTCCATTTTGTTTCTGTAACGCAGTAGAATACCAGTCATATGTAGTTAGCAAATGGGGGGGGGGGGGGGTCCACAATATGAGTGCTCAGCGCCTGCTTGAGGCCGCCATTTGTCTGTCTAAACACTAAACTGAATTAACGTTGGAATATTCACAAGCTTGATTTCGCAGATTATGGCTACATTGTATTTGTTAATTATGGTGTGCTGTTATAACAATACATAGGACCAGTTTCATTAACGCAAAATGTTCGCTATCGTGAAGCTACTCATGTTATATATATATATATGTACTTGTTTAGCATAGATCTTGTGATTTACTTACAGTATCTACACTAAGCAAGCGTTTCTATATGAAGTCGAATATGCGCTGGAGTCCTAGTGAATCCACAGGTGGCTGGGAGCCAATTGGTTAGACTTAAGTCTATTAGCGTTTTGTGGCTTCGTACAACAACGGAAGCGTTACGTCTTTTGCGTTTCGCAATCCGTTGGACGCTGGTGCTTATTTTTTTTTTTGCATGATCAGCAGATAAAGTTACTTCTATGAGGTAAGTTGGCGCCAAAACCGTACGTAACGCTGCCATATAGTTATCAGATGACAGACGAGATTCAACAGGTTGTTGAATCGTATCCGTGCCTATACTTGATTGACACCGAGCAGTGGGAAAAAAGACAAATGACATAGTACACGGGCCAAGTTAGAATTATCGTTCTTTTTTCAACTTTACACGTATACACGCCGAAGGTGATTTACGATCGCACAATCTAATAGCACCGCTCGATCGTTGGCATATGGGGAGCAACGTGATTTAAAATGTTAGTTTGTAGAGGCACAAGCTAAACGCCCATATGTTTGTTCGCCATATTCCCTTTCCCAAATGCAGGGGCTGGACGATGATATTTTGCCTCGAATTTTTAAACGCTACTGGAAAACCTACCTGTAATAGTGCGCTACCGTAACTATTGGCCAGCGGCTTCCCAGAGCACGAATTGCTCAGCTGAGCTGGGTCGGGCAGTTAAAGCAGAAAAAGGACCAGTGCTGCCGCTACTGCCAGTTAAAAGCAGAACATTTTCATTAGTATGATGGTATCTGTTGGTGTACAGTCTATGAAATCCATGCAAGGCGTTGCGGTGAGATATGGCCATGATGTTCAAGTGCAAACGCTTCCATTCGATCTCCTTCCACTGTATACCGCTTTATTAAAGACTACGATGCACCTACGACACACCCATTGCACAATCAATCGCTGAATAGCAACAACGAGGATCGAAGGAATTATATAGACTGACCGATCGGCCGACGTCTCAACTCGGTGTTTCTCTGAGGCTAAGTTGAGCGTCTCACACAGAGGGTAACGAGGCAACAAACAGCTGGCCCATACAGTCAGCGCTAGTGGTCTTCAAGCTAACGGCCTCATTATGGTTGTGCCAGCCACCTCAGATGAAACCGAATTTCACACGACGATATTTCTGGGATCTACACAATGTCCAAGCAATAATCCAACAGAAAGTCACACCGATACAGCCGACGACTACTGCAGCTACCGGTAACACCGATCACATCACATCACTTCACGGATTTTACACCACTGCAATTCATCGCCCTAAATGAAGCTCCGAAGGCTTAGATCGCGAGTAATACTAATGAAAACCCATATTGTCTCGATAACTGTTGGCCTTACTGCGGTCGCTTGTTGATGTTTCTAACTGTACTGTCGTTGCGTCGCCATTTGGCGTAGCGTAATTTTCCAGCTGCTAATAGAGCCTTTTGTTATCTTCCTATTGGTTTTATTAGCTTGATTAAAAACAATGCACTCGAGGTACGAACGTGGTCGTCAGCGTCATTTTGGCTGTAGCCATCGTCATCAGCTTTTACATTGACGTCTTAGAGATCTCTACTTTGCTCGTTCACTGCGTCGTCGCTATAAGGTTTCCCTCTGCCGCACCCCCACAACGAGGTCGGCAATTACGCCGGATGGCGACACTTGAACTCTAACGGTTTGCTGTAGAGCGGTAGTCGTGGATAAAGTAGAAAGCCTTTGTTGTAACAATTTAATCATCATACCGCTGCGCAGACAAACTTCCCGCTGCGGAAACCTCCGCGGGGCAGTCACTGTTTAATGAAAAGTTTGTATTTGCTTCAAATAATTGTTATAGGCGACGATGACGGCCGCAACAGAACCTTGAGCTGGAAAAGTAGTCGCACTGGCGGTATAATTTCTCATCAGAAAGGGTGTTGACGATATCGAATCAATAAGCGGCTGTTGTCGTCGCTGACATTTGGTGTCCGATCTAATAAAAGCTTCGCTAGTATTTATGCTGATAAGGCTCGTTTCTATTATTGCCAACTTAGATATGTTTTATCTCGATTATTGTTATTATCAATACTGTTATTAAAATTCGATTCCTCCTTCAATGTTTAGCGCCACTTCCTTTTGATAAAGACAAATAATCCTTTAGCTATTTCGAGCCTGTTTCCTTCTTTCCTATTAATGGCCGTTTTCTAAAAAAAAAAAACTCGTTTATCAAAAGCAACAGTGTGTCCCGTTTGTAGCGTTCATTAACATGACGCACGCCCGTCGCCTACCGCCAACCGTCGCGCCGAAGTAGCTTAAGTTATGTTTACCTTTAGAGTTTCTGCTGCTTCAGCTTAGGCTTTCGTCGTTGCTCTCGCTGACTTTGTTGCCGTCCACTTTGCCATCATGGTATAAAAGTATGGAAAATATATCCTTCCGTTCTTGGCGGCCTGTCGTTTCCTTGCCGTCAATAGAGAGCTGTTCTGTTTGACGTTAGTTGTTAACAAAGCTGTTGCAGCGCCGAAACCGTTCGATGGGTAACTATTACTGTTAGGAATAGCAGGGAGGAGAGATGATATAACGTGAAGCGAGACAGCTTCCGGGAGAGATCTCGCTTGGGCGTCGATTATCCATTTAGCTCGCCGTTTAGGGCAACACGTCATAAACACTGACTAATTTCCTTTGAAGTTGTTGGAGCAACAAATATTGTTGCTTATTCCAATCGAGCTGCTCCGCCTTTGTGTCCTACTCCCACTGCTGGAACTGTTATTACTGCTTGTTTTATTTCTGCGTTTGTAATCAAAGTACTTTTTTTGAACCGCGGCCGCGATGACTGCTAATGCTTAGTCTTGATGGATGCCTAGCCTCAAGAGATCTTCGCCAGCTCGGCGTTATGTTGCGATTGACGTTCTTTTTTTCGCTGTCTTCCACCGTTCGCGACGCAGCTGCCACAAACGGATCAACTACTTTTCTCACCGTTTTCTGTTTCGTTGCGGCCGCTATTGTTGTTGTAGTATCCGTAGTAGTAGTATCTGTTGTTAGTGCTATTGATATTTCTACTATTCGGCATGCTGATCCGGGTAGTCGGCTGCGGGTGACCGCGCCTGCCATACGTTTGGTCCCTGTTTGATATTGTTAGGGCTGTTGGCCTGCTGCTGCTGTCGGGCTCTTCGCATTGAGCTGGCCCGCGACTCTTGTTCGTCGTTTTCTCTTCTCCTCCGAAATGGCTCTCCTCCACCAGGTTGGGGTTGCCAGCTTCGGCCTTCTGTCGCCAGCTGCATTCAGCCACCGCAAAACAGGTGCTTGCGCATGCGCTTTTTGAGATGAACGCCGTACCCTTTACCTTTACACCTCCCCTCCCCTCTAGAAAACTCATAGCCCACTCTCTCTCCCTCTTTACCAGGGTCCCATTTACGCTCTAAGGCCCCCTGTGACAGACGAGTTGGATGCACAAGCATCGCGCTGGCGGCGAAAATGGCAGTGACAGTGGCAGCAGCCGGAGCCGCATGCAGTTTGTACGTCAACTGGTAGCCAGATAGGACTCGCTCCAGTAGCTCTCTGCCATCATCCGCCCACAAGACCGCACAGTTTCCCCCGGCGCTGTATATCGCACACGGCCATGGCAAGCAGCCAAGGGCTCCCTTGCCACGCCGCTAAACCCTCACACCGAGTTTCCCTTTCTCTCGAGAGCTTCCACTGCTGCTCTTTCGAACCACCCGTCTCTCCAACAACGCGGCCGCTGTGGCCACCACCCCTAGCATTGGGTCATTATCAGAGTTACCTGCTACGGCCATCGCTGCTACCGCTGACGTTCTCATCCCCTCCAAGAGGGACGTCCTGAGCGACGACGTTGCCCTAGCAACCAATGCTTGTAGGTTCGACAACGAACCTCTTTCCGCAAATCCTCGACATAGGCCTGAACGAATAAACAATCAGCATCGCTTCCAAGCTATCTTTACCGTCGATGAGAAAAGCAGTGCGGTACGATCTCACATCTACAGCTCCAACGCTCGTGCAGAAGTTAGTGTATAATTTTCAGTTCTGTTTGTTATGAACTGATCGAGTGAATTCTCGCTTGAGAGCATAGTCGTTTTAAAGAATCGACCGCCGATGGCAGTCTCGAATGTGTTTCCTTGGAGCTCAGCAACAGGTCCTTGTCTTCATCTATATGAGCCCTCGCCCGACTATTGAGAGCCACCGGACCATTGGATTGTTTGTCACGCCGCGCCCCACGCAGTTCTCCTGAATTCGTCACAACTTGTTGATTCATCTAATGTTAAGTCGCTTGTCTGTCTGTTTTCATTCTCGCAATGGAGGACTGCTCCCGCTGCAACGCTCCTCATGTTTTCTAGGATGGCACATCGTGACAAGCCAAAGTGGGAAAACTAAATGTAAATTCATTAATTTCCATTGGGATATAGGTTAGATAGACTTATGGTGGTGAACTGGGTTGAATTTGCCGAATCACATAAACCACAAAAGCCCAAAAAAGTTACATTTTCTATACTATTTGACTTTCTTTATCTCAACTTACTTAAGCGAAGAATCTCTACAAGACCAAATCACCGACTCTTCGACTGTTTGATTGTAGTTAGTAATTTTTGAGCTGGTTTCACCCCACTGCAGTCCCTCATGAGAGGACTCTTTTTGATAAGGTTTATTGAACGCTGCTTTCGGATTGAGGACATGTGAGAACATGGGTCTTACACGCAAAATTAATCCACAGGACGCCATGGCAATTAAACAGACGACCTCAATACCTCGTAACAGTCCGTATCTCTGTCATCTGGAATTAATGGCTGTGAGCAAATCGTTCATTCAACTGTCTATTTTTTCGGTCGCCGGGCTTTCTCCAGGCATCGTCGTCGGCAGCCCAGTCGCCGTGATTTAGTCAAAGTGGAATCGAATTGATCAGAACCAAAGGATATTTATAAATTGATACTAGTCATTTTAGCGTTTCCTATTTCGAACAGACTAGCCAACCAACACAGTGGTAAAGTTACGTTTTCGTTATCCGCAAAGTGGAACAAGCACCTTAGCTCCGGGCAGTCGTAGCTGTCTCAACCCCCAGCCTCACCCTACTTGCTACTGGCTGAAGGTAAAAACGAAGAGAGGAAAGAGGGCTACAATCGAAAGCTTAAGCCCAACCCGAGGCCGCTTGTCGAATTTGGCGGTCCAGATTCCGCTCACCCGGCAACGTACTCTGTCATCGCATCAGTCTCTCAAAACCAACCTCATAGAGTTCGAGTTGGCGAGGCAATATCTGCCACTGCTAGAGCTGTTGAATAAAAGAGAGGGTGAGCCCTCATCTTGTCAGTGCCGCCGACTCTGCTTGGCCGTAACGCGTTACGGACGGTTGAAGTTAGGAGCGCATAGACGATCGAAGCTTGAAGGCCAAAATCCCGTTGGGATATTGCAACTTCGTGGTAGGTCAGAGAGGTTTTGTGGTTCATCAGGGTTGGCAGCAAGATAGGGCGGAACACTTGTTCTGGAAACAGAGTAGTTAGGTTTTACGACGAATGAACAAGCAATTATACAGGGCATGAGGGAGGTTGAGGATTGGGTGGCAGACATTGGAATATGTAACCGAAAGCAGGGTGAAAGGGGGGCGAACAGATTGAAAAAGGTCGAGAAAAGAACGGAGGGCATATGGTTTCTTGCCGCAGAAGCTCCCTTTTGTATCCGCTCCGGCGCACGACGACGATAGCATCTGATAATGACGCCAACAACTGGTGCATCGTAACTCGCAAGACGGCATTGCGCATACACGCCAGAAAAAAATCTTATTTTGGACGGATTAAGCCCGGTCCATCTTCCTCTTCCTTTTACTGTCCTGAGAAAAAACGTAGAGGTTTTGTGCTGGACAAAACGAATACTAAAATGATTAGATCTATTGGTTTCTCTAATCACTAACTGTTTATTTTGCGTTTCTATCGTCGGGCTCGTGCACACTAATGCTAATGTTGTAAGATGAATGGTACCGGATATGATCGAGCTGGATCAAGCGTCGCTTGCAGGCTAGCTGAAAAATTTAAGAGGCCTTTTATGTTACATCCAACAGTAAACTAGTGAAGTTAATCATCGTCTTGACTTTGTCTTTCGTCCAAAGATAAAACCAAAAAATGCTCTACCTTAAAGTTCACAGGAGCTACACTTGCCGCAGTCAAGAGCCGACATTGGGGAATGCTATTGCCCGGATTTTTAGCCAGAGGCCATGTTAATTTAGAACTGATCGTGGCTGCTTGAAGCCCGTGCTCTATTCCCTTGAACCCTGAGTGAATTGAAATGCTAACTCATTAGGATAATTATATTTCAAATATGCTTACTTCAATCTCGCGGAAGCAGGAGAAACAAAGTCAGGAGCCATATTGTAACCTTAATCGAAACAAATAAAGGAACGAATATATCAAATTGTGAATTCAGCAGTTATTGAAATAAATTAAGATAAACACTGAGCCGAGACCAGGGACGGAGGAACGTCCCCGCTATGATGTTCGGCGTCCGTTAATACAATTTTGACATTAGGTCCTGAAAAAGGATACATGTGCTATGTTTCACATGTAGAACTGAGCAACTCATTTGTTGGATAAACATATCGTTTTGTTTATTGAAGTGCGACGAATTGATTCAACATGCCATAACGACGAATGGATTATTTAGTCATCTTGGATTAGGACTCTAAGGTGGGAGCCCTAAAAATTTTCGTATAAAGAGTGCACTCTCTTTTCGATTTGAGACATTTCACAGATGCCAACTATGGCTAATAGTATGATATCGCATGTAGTAGTGTTATTTCGACTTTTAAAAGGCGTCTTACCAATGCGTGAGCAAGCAATAATTTATACGCTTTTCGGTAGAGCTCAAATGCTTTGGATTGGGTGTACTCGAGAGCGATTCTCGCCTGCCGCTATGTTTAAATATTGAACTGCATCGTATATCGACCTTAACGTCAGATAAAAGAACAGACTGAGCTGCAAAAATTTTACGCATGTGTTGCGCCTTCTTCGCTCCTCTCAGATACTAGGTGTCGATTACAATATGTAGTTCAGGCCAGATCATCATACAAGGCCCGCAAAAACTCTGTGCTCCAGGACAGTCGTTACTTATTTTCAACCAACTATACGATTCCGTCTCATTGCGCCTCGTCCTGTGAGCAGAACAGTCGGAAAGGTGACGTAAACGAAGCTCGCTGTCTCTCCACTGAGTAACACGGTAGTGGCCACAGCCATCGGCAGGTGCTCTGGCCCACCTCTAGTTCAGCTCGCCTCGCTCGTGTTACTTTTCATTGTTAAGCCTATTGTAGGACGGAACGCGACTTATTCGGTAACTTTGTCACTCAGTGAAATGGTGTCGACAGAAGTAGCGAACAAGGGCGGACGGAGTTTTTGCGTGACGACATAGTCGGCCATTAACGGCTGCGGTGGCGTCGTCTCGACGTTCAGTGTTTCACGCAGTTAATAGCAGTCCATGATTAGCTAGCGGTAGGCGTGTCAGCGGTTTGGTACACACCCGTAATATGCAAATGAAACTACTCTCTTGTGTTATATTTCTAGCTGGCTGTAGCGGTTACGATAAGGGTTTAGCACTTCTGTAACAGCATAAGGAAGGAGACCGCCTTTCACCGCTGGTCGGGGGAAGAATAGGCTTGAGCTGAGCGTAAAGAAGTGCCAACTTCGTCCAGATCTACTAAAGAGATGATCTACTGTGCATTTTATCCTACTAGTTTTTGACGTGAGCCTATGCCTTGCCCACGTTTAGCGTAGCAACATCCAAAGCAGGAGCTGCTGCAAGATCTGGTAACAAGCAACTGTGGCAAAACGGGCAAAAGCTTCGATGGCGCCAGTTGCAGACGACCCTCCCTCCCTCTCTCTCTCTCTCTCTCTCTCTCTCTCTCTTCTATTAATGACTTATATCCACATTAGCGTTAGCGGAAACAGTGGCTCGAACAGAACGAAAACATGATATATCGCCAACTATAGCTCGAACAAGTCTTTGTGTGGGCGCCAGTAACTGCCAATTGTGTTTACAGCTGTTGTAATGGACACACGGAGCAGCGCGCGGATCGCGCAAGC